GCTGGGAACAGTGGTGCCCACTGTAATCCCAGCAACTCGGAAGACTAAGGCCGGAGGTACTGTGACAAAACACCTGACATAAATGAATAAAAGGAGGAAAGATTTGGCTCATAGTTTCTGAGGTTTCTGACCATGGTCAGCTGGCGAGGCGGAACATTATGGTGGAAGGCGTGGCAAAGCTGAGCTGCTCTCCTCATGCCAGCCAGCAGCAGAAAGCAGAGAGAGCAAGGGCTGGGTCTCGACAGGCTCTTGGTCATGCCCCTGGGGACAACCCAGTAGACCACCTTCTGATATTCCCACCACCTCCCAGCAGCCCCATCCGCTGGAGATCCAGCTTTAAACACAGAACCTCTGCGGGGCATCCCAGGTCCCAAACAGGAGCCTGTCCCCCGGAGAAACCAGTGTCTAGGGTGAGAGTGGGAGAAAGAGGCTTCATCTGAGGCCAGAGAACTGAGAAAAGAAGGGAGCTCTGCTGGAAAGTCGGCTGCTCAGCTCAAGGGTTGAGGGGCCACAGATAAGGGACAGGAACATCATGGGAGATGGAGAGTGGCTAATAAACGGGAAGAACACTTAGGTGTGGTGTTTTTGTTTTTTTGTTTTTTGTAGATGGACACAATACCTTTATTTTATTTTATGTGGTGCTGAGGATGGAACCCAGTACCTCATATGTGTTAGGCAAGCCCTCTACCACTGAGCCACACACCATCCCCATTCATGTGTTTTCTGGGAATAGGCAGAGATCTTCCAGGAAGGGTGGATGGTACCATCTATTGAGTGCCAACTCTTTTTACCTCCTTCATGCTTTGGTGTTCCCGGGCATGACGGTGGGTAAGTCTGGGTCGAGGTAACCCTGTATTACAGCATCGGACAAAACTTTTTTTTTTTTTTGTAGCAGCTTGAAACCAGACCCATTTATTATCTCACAGTTCTGTAGGCCAGAGTCCAGAAGGGCTTGACCAAGTTTCTCTGCTCAGGAGCTCATAAGGCTGATATCAGCTGAGCTAGTCTCTTAACTAGAGGATGGGGTGAGTATCAACTTGCAAGCTCAGTACTCGAGATAGTTTTTCATTGCTGTGACCAGAATACCTGACGAGAACAATTTAAGAGTAAGAAAAGTCTCAGTGCAGTCAGAAAACTCCATTGCTGTAGGCTTGAGGTAAGTCCATGCATCGTGACAGAAGGCTTGGCAGAGCCAAGCAGAGTGGGCATGAGGAGCAGGGACGAGAGATGTGACCCCAGGGCCTACCCAATTGGTCTGGACCAAGCCTCTCCCAGGTGGGCAGCATGGCAGCACACAAAGCCGAGCAGATGCTGACCAAAGGTCAAGGCAGCAGAGGAGACAGACATGATGTGAAGACAGAGAGGCCATGTATTTCATCTTCATCCTTGCTGGACACCTGCAGGCCCAAGGGAAGAGTTGGTGTCCATCCGCGACACTCTTCAGGAGACCATTATCCCTGCCTAGCCATCAGCGGTGCTGCCTGTGGCAGGGCTCAGGGGGGCCAGGGTGCACGCCCAGCTGGTGACCTCCAGGGTTCAGGCTGTCTTTTGGTACTAGGATTGAACCCAGGGGCGCTTAACACTGAGCTACGTTTCCAGCCTTTTTTTGTTTGAGACAGGCTCTCGCCTAGTTGTTGAGTCTGATAACTTTATTTCCTACTCCCCATTAGGGCTAGGATAGAGCTTTTGTGAGCTAAGCTAGAGCTTCCCATCTTCATGCCGTAAACCTCAAACATGATTTCAACCTGAACTTTGAACTTGTGTTCTTCTTGCCTCAGCCTCCTGAGCTTCTAGGATTACAGGTGTGCATCACCACACCTGGAAAAAGTTAGTGATTTTTAAGTCAGCTAACAGCAAGTGAAACTAGAAGGTTTACTCAGGGTTTCTTCCCGGGGACATTTTATGCATGGTTCTCTTGTGCAAGTCCCTGCAGGTGGCAGTGTAGTTTTCTTCTTGGCTGTTTCTGGCTATAGGGCCTCCTGGGTGCTGGAGTCCTTTGGGGATGGCTCTGGTCAGCTGCCTTCCTCAGTGTCCAAAGGTTAAGGCAGAGCATTTCTTTACTCTAGAAAAACATAGCCTTCTGGTGGTATTTTATAGAATGACCTTATTTATAAAGCCCTTTGCATGATCATGGGGAAGGTGGAAGAATGGATATTTCAGGCTGCATCCTGAAACATAGGGAGAAAATCCATTGACCTGTTTTTACTTGATTTCATAACAATTTATTTTCCTAGCTATAATGTCCTTAACTATTTGTATTTCAAAGCAAAAATCACAATTGCAGTGATAATTCCTTTTAAAATAATATTTTAGGGCTAGGCATGTCTTTCACTGGTAGAGTGCTTGCCCAGCATGTGCAAGTTCCTGGGTTCTGTCACCAGCACTGCAAAGAACAAAAATCATGCTCTTCGGAAATGTTAATTATGGCAGTGTGTGTAGTAAAATCACTGAGGTCCTTAAAATCACATTGTCTCTGAGAAACTGAGGCAGTCATCACTCAAGTTTTACACAAGCAGACAAATTTCATTAAGAAATACTTTATTGATGTTAACTCAGGTCAATATATGCCTCAAATCTTTCTATCTGCAGTTTTAACTATAAGTACTCAAACTGCTTTTACCTGGACAGCTTGTAAGATATTCCTACTCTGGATCCCAGAGGGTCTGCATTGATGGGAAGGAACTAACTCTTGGTCAGCCCAGCAGCATCAGCCTGACATGCATCTCTGCGCAGGAGCAGAGAGCCACCCAGTGGCCTGCTGAGTGGAACCTGAGATTCCACAGCCTGGCAGATAACAAGAGGTGGAACCTGTTCTTCCACAGTGAGCATGATTCTCCTCCTTCCCCCACAGCCTTTCACGTCCACACTCTGCCAGGGAGGAATGGAGTATTTGTAGATTCAGTTAGGAATTCAGTGAAACTGATTTTTCCTGAGGTTTTTGGGAGGGTGCCTGGGCAAATCAGCTATGTGTGCTCAGTGTTGTGAAGTCATTCCCAGGTAGGAGCTGGATATCCAGTTTTATCAAGATTTGGCTCAGAATTTTAATTTTATCTCAGAATTTTGATGCTGTAAAGTGATATTTAGATTCTCTTAATTTGAAAGGTGCCATCATGGATAAACACATTTGGAAATGGAAATTAGGATGAGAATCAGTGATTGTCATCAGCTTACCATGAAGTGCTGCAAGTGGCAACTTGTCCATACCCAGTGCCACTGTTCACTCAGCAGGAGCCAGCACAGGACCTGGAAATCTAGTAGTGTGAGGGAGGCATACAAGAAAGTGTAAGGAAGAATATTACTACCAGAATTACAAGGGATCTCATGACACAGGCTTGAGGGCAGCAGGTTGAAATCATGTTTGAGGTTTACGGCATGAAGATGGGAAGCTCTAGCTTAGCTCACAAAAGCTCTATCCCAGCCCTACTGGGGAGTTGGAAATAGTTATCAGCAAATTTTTCACCATGCATCTATCTCCTGGTATCATGGCCCCTCCCTGAGCTACACATTCATCTGTTCCACATCGACTATGTCCCAAGCATGGTGCAGTGCACACATACATCTGTCCTTTGCCCTTAAAGGGGCTCACAGTTCAAAACAGAAGATACTTAAGCAGTGTCTTTGATATGAGATGGAATCAAGGGGATTTTCATGTGGTAGGGGTTCCAGATGCTACAGTAAATAATTGTGCATGAGGCATAAGGGGAAGCACAGAGAGCTGTTCTACAGAAGATGCTTAACTTTGAAGCATTCTTCAGACCAAAGGTATACACCAGTCAATCCTTAGGACAGTGCATTTTATGATGGTACTGGGAAGATGATTATGAGCCAAAATGGTTAACTACTTTGAATAATGAGATCAGTATAAAGTGAAAAGAATTTTAAAGGTTCAGAAACATGACTCAGATGTGATACACATTAGACATTTCTTTTTATTTTTTATTTGTAGTTGGACACAATACCTTTATTTTTATGTGGTGTTGAGGATCAAACCCAGGGCCTTGCATGTGCTAGACAAGCACTCTACCGCTGAGCCACAACCCCAGCCCACACTTGAACATTTCTTGAAGTTTGTTTTCTGAGAGGAATAATCAAAAAACTTAAGGCAATGTTGTTTTAATTTTTTCTATGCTACTAAGTGGCTACTGAACATTTTAAGTTAACTATTAACTTGCAACATCATTTTTTTTTTTGAGAGAGAGAATTTTAATATTTATTCTTTAGTTCTCGGCGGACACAACATCTTTGTTTGTATGTGGTGCTGAGGATTGAACCCGGGCCGCACGCATGCCAGGCGAGCGTGCTACCGCTTGAGCCACATCCCCAGCCCCTGCAACATCATGTTAATAACAGTATAATTAGCTGGAAGAAGTGTGAACTTCATTGTAAAATTGTCTCCTGGGACTTCAGCTTTTTTTGAGACAGGGTCTTGACATATTGCCCAGTCAGGCCTTAAGCTTATGGACTCAAGTGGTCCTCCCACCTCATCCTCCAGAGCAGCTGGGACTACGGGTACATGCCAGCACACCCCGCTGGAACTTGGAGCTTACATTACACTGGGGCGGAGGTCAGTGGCAGACATATACTTAGCATGCATGAAGCCCTTAGTTTGGTCCCCAGTATCAAGCAGAACAGACCCCAACAAATAGGCAAAACTGAGGCAGTGAAGGGCACTTCCTGGAGCAGTGTCAAGCAGCAGTCCAATTTCAGTGTTTTGCACAAAATTGTTCATTCCTATGCCGTATTTCCTTTAGTACTACTAGAAAAAAATTGACTTCATTTTAAAATAAACAGTATTTTCTTTTTGGTACTGGGGATTGAACTCCGCCATTTTTACCATTGAGCTACATCTCTAGCAAAGTTGTTGTGACTGGTCTCATACTTGTGATCCTCCTGCTTCAGCCTCCCAGATACTGGATTAGAGGTGTTCAACACTGTTTTGGCTAAATGGGACACTTGGGGAAACAAAAATTTTAAAAGGTAATAATAATTACACAATCATCAGACTTTCAAAAGCTTAAAGTTTTAATACATAAATCATTGCCAGTAACAGAAGACTTGGACATGGTGGTACACATTTGTAATCTCAGCCACTCAGGAGGCTGAGGCACAAAGATCCCAAGTTCCAGGCCAGCCTCAGTAATTGAGACCTAAGCAACTTAATAAGACCCCATCTCAAAAATAAAAAATGAAAAGTTCTGTGGATGTTCTTCAGTGGTTAAACACCCCTGAGTTCAATCCCTATTACCAAGCCCACCCTCCTCATGCATCTTTTTTGATAAGAAGATTTAACGGTGTAAATAAAAACTGCTATCAACAAAATAAAACAATTACATCCCCCAAATTAAGATTTATTTGGTGTTTGTCAGATAGGCATGTTCATTAACACCAGCTTATTTAATTCTCCTGACAACTTCCAACCCTACTGTAGATGGAGAAAAGGAGTTAGCAAGCTGTCTACAAACACAAGCCAGTTTAACAAAAATAGTAGTAGTTTATTGATCACATATAATTTTAGCTGTATTTAATATATGTTATATAACTTTAAGAATTAGAAACGAATGACTTTATATTTTACCAAGGACAATCTGAGTTTTGGCAGCATATTCAATGACCATCATTCAGTCCTACAGCCACCACACGCCCATTTCAGATAATCAGGACGTTATCATCCAAGCTTGACTGACACGATAGTTACCCTTACAGGCTGTATTACACGTTTTCTTTTCCAGTAAATACTCCTTTTTAACATACAGACATATTTCCCAATAATCTTACTTATATAATATACAAAACTTAACTTTTTAGCCACAAGAGTTGTCTCAGGAAGCTTTCATTTTGGAGTGCCATAAAGGCCTGAGACAGCAGCACAATGACCCTCTGGACTTGGTACTTTTGAGTTTTCATTGTGTTTAGAACACCTGTTTAAAATTAAAACAAAGTCATTCCCACATTATCCTCATGAAGGAAGTCTTTTTATGCACACATGAACACAAGACAGAAATGTCAAATTGATCACTTTTTTTGGCAAGTCACAGAAATTGAACAGTGCTACCAGAAACAGAAACATCTCCTTTTAGTGTTTTATAGCTGAAGAGACTGATGAATGTCATTCAAACTTCTCATCTCCTTCTTCCACGTCTTTCAAATTGAGAACTTCCAAAGAACCTTTGCCCTTTGTTTCCTTTTGTATTAGCTCATCAATTTCCCGGAAGCAGCCTGGGTCAATCAGACACAC